ACTAGTAGCTATAGCAGTACTCTAGATATGACAAAAGTGCTAGTAACTATAGCAATCCTCTGGATAGGAATCAAAGTGCTAGGTACTATAGCAATCCTCCAGATAGGAATCAAAGTGCTAGTAACTAAAGCAATCCTCTAGATAGGAATCAAAGTGCTAGTAACTAAATTACTAGTAACTATAGCAATCCTCCAGATTGAAATCAAAGTGCTTTTAACTATAGCAATCCTCCAGATTGAAATCAAAGTGCTTTTAACTATAGCAATCCTCCAGATTGAAATCAAAGTGCTTGTAACTATAGCAATCCTCCAGATTGAAATCAAAGTGCTTTTAACTATAGCAATCCTCCAGATTGAAATCAAAGTGCTTTTAACTATAGCAATCCTCCAGATAGGACTCAAAGTGCTAGTAACTATAGCTGTACTCTAGATATAGGTAAAATTACTAGTCACTATAGCAGTACTCTAAATATGTGTCAAATTATTATTAACTATAGCAGTACTCTAGATCAGGGTCAAATTACTAGTAACTAAAGCAGTACTCCAGATATGGGTCAAATTACTAGTTACTATAGCAGTACTCTAGATATAGGTCAAGTTACTAGTAACTATAGCAGTACCCTAAATATGTGTCAAATTATTAGTAACCATAGCAGTACTCTAGATAGGATAGAAAGTGCTAGTAACTATAGCACTTTGATTCCTATCTAGAGTGCTGCTATAGTTACTAATAATTTGACACGTATTTAGAGTACTGCTATAGTTACTAATAAGTTGACCCATATCTAGAGTACTGCTGTAGTTACTAGTAATTTGACCCTTATCTAGAATACTGCTATAGGTACTAGTAATTTGCCCCATATCTAGAGTACTGTTATAGTTACTAATAATTTGACCCATATCTAGAGGACTGCTATAGTTACTAATAATTTGACACGTATTTAGAGTACTGCTATAGTTACTAGCACGGTGACCCATATCTAGAGTACTGATATAGTTACTAGTAATTTGACCCCATATCTAGAGTACTCCTATAGTTACATTTAACCCATATCTAGAGTACTGCTGTCGTTACTAGTAATTTGACCCATATTTACTAGCACTTTGATTCCTATCTAGAGTGCTGCTATAGTTACTAGTAATTTGGCCCATATCTATAATACTGCTATCGTTACTAGTAATTTGACCCATACCTAGAGTACTGCTATAGGTACTAGGAATTTGACCCATATCTAGAGTATAGTTACTAGCAATTTGATCCCTATCCAGAGGATAGCTATATTTACTAGCACTTTGTGTCCTATCTAGAGTACTTCTATAGTTACTAGCACTTTGTATACTATCTAGAGTACCGCTATAGTTAATAGCACCTTGTATCCTATCTAGAGTACTGCGATAGTTACTAGCACTTTGTATACTATCTAGAGTACCGCTATAGTTACTAGAACTTTGTATCCTATCTAGAGTTACTAGTAATTTAACCCATATCTAGAGTACTGCTGTAGTTACTTGTAATTTGACCCATATCTAGAGCACTGCTGTAGTTACTAGTAATTTGACCCTGATCTAGAGTACTGCTATAGGTATTAGTAATTTGACCCATATCTAGAGTAATGCTATAGTTACTAGCACTTTGTGTCCTATCTAGAGTACTGGTATAGTTACTAGTAATTTGACCCTGATCTAGAGTACTGCTATAGTTACAGTAATTTGACCTATATCTAGAGTACTGCTATAGTTACTAGTAATTTGACACATATCTAGAGTACTGCTATAGTTACTAGCACTTTGTATCCCATCTAGAGTAAAGCTATAGTTACTAGCACTTTGTATCCTATCTAGAGTACTGCTATAGTTACTAGTAATTTGACCCATATCTAGAGTACTGCTATAGTTACTGTACTGCTTTAGTTACTAGTAATTTGACCCATATCTAGAGTACTACTATAGTTACTAGTAATTTGACCCATATCTAGATTACTGCTATAGTTACTAGTAATTTGACCCATATCTAGAGTACTACTATAGTTACTAGTAATTTGACCCATATCTAGAGTACCGCTATAGTTACTAGCACTTTGTATCCTATCTAGAGTACCGCTATACTTACTAGCACTTTGTATCCTATCTAGAGTACCGATATAGTTACTAGCACTTTGTATCCTATCTAGAGTGCTGCTATAGTTACTAATAATTTGACCCATATCTAGAGTACGGCTATAGTTACTAATAATTTGACCAGTTACTAGCACTTTGTATCCTATCTAGAGTACCGCTATACTTACTAGCACTTTGTATCCTATCTAGAGTACCGCTATACTTACTAGCACTTTGTATCCTATCTAGAGTACCGCTATACTTACTAGCACTTTGTATCCTATCTAGAGTACAGCTATAGTTACTAGCACTTTGTATCCTATCTAGAGTGCTGCTATAGTTACTAATAATTTGACCCATATCTAGAGTACGGCTATAGTTACTAATAATTTGACCAGTTACTAGCACTTTGTATCCTATCTAGAGTACCGCTATACTTACTAGCACTTTGTATCCTATCTAGAGTACCGCTATACTTACTAGCACTTTGTATCCTATCTAGAGTACCGCTATACTTACTAGCACTTTGTATCCTATCTAGAGTACCGCTATACTTACTAGCACTTTGTATCCTATCTAGAGTACAGCTATAGTTACTAGCACTTTGTATCCTATCTAGAGTGCTGCTATAGTTACTAATAATTTGACCCATATCTAGAGTACGGCTATAGTTACTAATAATTTGTCCCCTATCTAGAGGACTGCTATAGTAACTAGTAATTTGACCCATATCTAGAGTACCTGCTATAGTTACTAGCACTTTGTATCCTATCTAGACTACTGCTGTAGTTACTAATAATTTGACCCATATCTAGAGTACGGCTATAGTTACTAATAATTTGACCCCTATCTAGAGGACTGCTATCCCATCTAGAGTAAAGCTATAGTTACTAGCTCTTTGTATCCTATCTAGAGTACCGCTATAGTTACTAGCACTTTGTGTCCTATCTAGAGTACTGCTATAGTTACTAGCACTTTGTATCCCATCTAGAGTAAAGATATAGTTACTAGCACTTTGTATCCTATCTAGAGTGCTGCTATAGTTACTAATAATTTGACCCATATCTAGAGCACTGCTGTAGTTACTAGTAATTTGACCCATATCTAGAGTACCGCTATAGTTACTAGCACTTTGTATCCCATCTAGAGTAAAGATATAGTTACTAGCACTTTGTATCCTATCTAGAGTACCGATATAGTTACTAGCACTTTGTATCCTATCTAGAGAACTGCTATAGTTACTAGCACTTTGTATCCTATCTAGAGTGCTGCTATAGTTACTAATAATTTGACCCATATCTAGAGTACGGCTATAGTTACTAATAATTTGTCCCCTATCTAGAGGACTGCTATAGTAACTAGTAATTTGACCCATATCTAGAGTACTGCTGTAGTTACTTGTAATTTGACCCATATCTAGAGTACTGCTATAGTTACTATCACGGTGACCCATATCTAGAGTACTGCTATAGTAACTAGTAATTTGACCCATATCTAGAGTACCTGCTATAGTTACTAGCACTTTGTATCCTATCTAGACTACTGCTGTAGTTACTAATAATTTGACCCATATCTAGAGTACGGCTATAGTTACTAATAATTTGACCAGTTACTAGCACTTTGTATCCTATCTAGAGTACCGCTATACTTACTAGCACTTTGTATCCTATCTAGAGTACCGATATAGTTACTAGCACTTTGTATCCTATCTAGAGTACTGCTATAGTTACTAATAATTTGACCCATATCTAGAGTACGGCTATAGTTACTAATAATTTGACCCCTATCTAGAGGACTGCTATAGTAACTAGTAATTTGACCCATATCTAGAGTACTGCTATAGTTACTAGCACGGTGACCCATATCTAGAGTACTGCTATAGTTACTAGCACGGTGACCCATATCTAGAGTACTGCTATAGTTACTAGTTATTTGACCCATATCTAGAGTACTGCTATAGTTACTAGCACGGTGACCGATATCTAGAGTACTGCTATAGTTACTAGCACGGTGACCCATATCTAGAGTACTGCTATAGTTACTAGAACGGTGACCCATATCTAGAGTACTGCTATAGTTACTAGTAATTGGACCCATATCTAGAGTACTGCTATAGTTACTAGTTATTTGACCCCTATCTAGAGGACTGCTATAGTTACTAGCACGGTGACCCATATCTAGAGTACTGCTATAGTTACTAGTAATTTCACCCACATCTAGAGTACTGCTATAGTTACTAGCAATTTGACCCAAATCTAGAGTACTGCTATAGTTACTAGTAATTTGACCCATATCTAGAGTACTGCTGTAGTTACTAGTTATTTGACCCCTATCTAGAGCACTGCTATAGTTACTAGCACGGTGACCCATATCTAGAGTTCTGCTATAGTAACTAGTAATTTGACCCATATCTAGAGTACTGCTATAGTTACTAGCAATGTGATTCCTATCCAGCGATTACTATCTGAACTTACTAGTACTTAAGCTGAATTCTGTCCGGGATATTACTTTAGTTACTGGCACCTTGACCTCTATTTGGGGGATCACTAGGTACGAGTTCAGTGTTATTCTACACATTTTCTATTGGAAAAGTTAATGGAACATGGAGGTTATTGGTCAATATAAATTATTAAACTAAATACTTTCAATGTATATCGTCTTGCCACCACCGTGAAAATCAATCATGCGATACATTACGTTAACATATGTACGATGAACTTGTGATACGTTTCCATGTACATGTAATACCTGATACTGGAATTGTTATGGTTTCAATAAAGTATACATTAACACATTACGAATTTTCAAAATATGAAACACATGTTTAGAAAACTTATTCAATTTTCAATTGTTTATGGACTTTTCCTTTATCGTACAAAGTTACACGACTACAACACAACTTCGTCAAATTTTAATATTATTACAGAGCTAAAACCGTGACGCTAGCTCAGCGCATTACAAATAAACCAGTGGTATGTTGAAGTATACCGTATTAAGTATTGCGCACTATTACACTGAGATAAGAGTAAATGAGCAACGCTAACCCTTAATTTGATCGACATGAACAAACACATATATCGATCTGTCTGTATATACACGCATTACCCCTGTTTCACCCCTGTTTCACCCCTACATACGTGTACAACCTCCCGTCACGTACACCCTCAAATCAAGCACACCTTCCAAGAACAACTTGCCACCAAACAAACCCTCCAATCAATCACACTCTGTAATCAAGAACACTTTCCCAAAAAATACACCCTCCGATCAATCGCACTCTTTAATATAGCACATCCTGACATCAAGCACAACCTCGAGTCACGCACATCATTCAAACAAACACGCCCTCCCATATTACATGTCCTCCCATCAAGCAAACTCCCAAGCACATTTTCGAATCAAGCACACCCTCTCGTGTCTAGGCGCTGCCTTATCTGAACTCAAAGATTAGCCTCAAGGCGACTCGACAATCTTGTCTACTAAACGGAACTACAATGTACTTGGTATTCAGTGCTTATAATAAGATTTGAATGGCGACCAAAACTGACCTATCTACACAAAAGCATGCTAATTCAGTTATGATGTTTATATTATTCGGGGTTTCAAGGAAGCCAATAATTTCCTCTGGGAACTGTAATTTAGCCAAGGTCGTGCCTTATCCACATGTGAGACCTGTCACATTATCACATTATACGGCGACTAACTTTAAAATGACCCATTCTATATAGTCTACAGGGGAAGACATACACCGTCATTGTACAGATTTGATGCCCAATACACCTTTATGGTATTGTGTCAATCTCATTAAAATCAGATGTTAATTTTTTTTACCTACGGCTATTAATAATGAACAGCTGTATTCATACCATCATGTACACAGATTTATCCTATTCTTTGTCAAATCTTAGTCTTAATACTGATTATTCTCGTACACATGTACGCTCGGACGTGCTCACATGTCCGGTAATAGGTGTAATTATGACTGGTTGATCAATTTCATACATCAATGACACATTCCTTATAACAACAATGCTTCACTCTATTCAATCGCCTTTCATTATGACGACGACATTGCTTAATTCTAGTGTTATCGTCATTCTTTATAACGACATTGTTTCAATCTTAAGTGTAATCGTTATTCTTTATTATGACATTGTAGTGTTATCGCTATTTTCACAACGAGATTACTTCACCCTTGAGTGTTATCGCCATATTCCTTATAACGACATTGCTTCACCCTTAAGTGTTATCGATATTCCATATAACGACTTTGCGTCACTCTATTGTGTCAGCGAGTATTGAATATATATTTGCTGACGACAGTTTATCAGACTTTCACTGTTTACTTTTCAATGTCAGTTAGCCAGAATAACTAAATTGCTCCATCTAAGCATGACGTAAACTGCCGCAAGTGTACCAGAATACAACTGCTTATTATATATCTCGGTTATAAGTAAAACATCAAGGCATGATGTCAACTGGAGCATCTGTTCAATATTATAAATCCATTTTGCTTGCGCTCGCGCGTTTATCAACTTGGTGAGACAGAAAACAAGGAGAATTTCTCATTATGCTGGAACCTTGGATTGATTTCCCTCCTCGCTCTTGATGTGTCATGGTTCTTTGCTCTTTGGCAGTCAATTAAATACAAATCAACTTGATTACAGTCTTTTAACATCACACAGTCACGATTCTCAGAATCATGGTCATTCAGATCTTACATTCGCATCAATATCACAAAACGCTTGAAATGTCAAAACAAAAAATCTAAATATAGGTTAATTGATAGTTAGTCATCCTTCAGTTCGCCCAGTTGAACACGTTGTGTGTATTCAATAAGATCGACAAACCACGCAATCACGTACAGTGAACCCTGATTACACATAATTAGCTTGAAGGTAATTGGTATTGATTTCTGATGTTGTTTTTATAGCTAGACCAACCGGACGTGTTGTTAATACTCCGATTACCATTCTTTTTCCACAGCGTTTCCGAATCGTCGTTCCACTTATTCTATGTTAAAGTCGTTGTGAACTCTAATTCACATGTGTTGGTGGGTTGTGATATGTCTCGGGTTCCCGGGGAACACTTGGCCACTTATATGATCTCCCCGAACAATCAGTCAATGATAAGGTCTCCAGGAACACATGCTTCGTGATATGGCATCCGGGGACAGTTTATCCATGATAGGGCCTCCAGGGACAGTTTGTCCTTGATATGACCTCCATTGACGCTTAGTTCAAGACTATAAGGTACAAAGAACAATTGGTCCATACCTATACAGTCCCGGATCACTCGGTCCATGATAGACAATACAGTCCCGGGCTCAACTGGTCCTATATATGGTTCCCGGTGTAAATTAGTCCATAACTATACGACCCGGGAACACTTGGTCCATGACATGACCTCCAGAAACACTTTGTCCATGATGTGCACATGGTCTCCGGGAACCCTTGGTCCATGATATGGACTCCATGGACACTACGTCCATGACATATTCCCAAGTGACACTGTGTCAAAGGCTTTGAGGTACAGACAACACGCTATCCAAGACTATACGGCCCCATAAATATGGAATTCAAGAACACTTGATCCATAATATGGTCTCCGGGAAAACTGAGTCTATGGTTCTACGGTCAGGTGAACACTTAGGCCATCATTAGACGGCACCGGGAACACTTGGTCCATGATATGGCCTTTAGTTACAACTGGTCAATGACTTGGTCTCCGGAAGCACTCAGCTCAATGTAAATGATACAGCCTCAAGTACACATCGTAGTACTTCGACGTGGTTACCGACATTGGTGGGTCTGAAAATTCCCCGATATAAAGTCCCCTGCTGGTCGTAGCTATTTCCTTCTAGATACGGTTCCTTGGTACTCATATCCTATATATGTTTCCGGATATCAATATCCCTGATCCTTAAGATAATCTCCGACCTTGACCAGCATGCTGTAGCATCCCCCTGGGTGACCAGATTCCTCGTACACGCCTATTAGGAGACACAACTTGCACTTGTAGATGACACAACCGAACCCTGTAGCACTGTCCCTCCCAACCATCACCGTGCTATCCTGTCGGGTACATGTATACCGTTTGTTACTCAAACTTATCCCTAACGTCCGTATCGACGAGGGGTCCACAAACCCATCTTGAATTGCCTGAACCTCGGAGGAAGTGACGTCAAATGCTGGTGATGCTGCCCACCGTCGTCCATCCTGTCCTACAATGGCCGCCCTGTTCACATGTCCACTCTCCAGGAAAACATTGGCCACGTATTCCCGCCACGAACACGGCATCTTTCGGGTAGGAGCAATCCCGTACAGACAACCAACATGGAAAGAAAAGAGTGAAATGGCGTTAGTGATGACAAAATATTTGTGTAGATCAATACAGCGATACTACAAAAGCCCCTTTCAGTTACAAATTGATTGTCGATATTATGAGTGACACCTACAGTTCGAGTATTGTCAGTGTGCCCAATAAACATTCTCCCGGTAACACGCAAGGTATTCACCCACTCAACATAAAACTACCATTAGACATACCAGGCCGTCCGGAAAGCAAACACCGCTGATAATACTTACATGGGTGGATACGGCAGAAAGGGGACGTAACTCCACTTTCATAAGCCGCGCTCTGTTGGTTCCGTACATAATTTCACTTGTTTGACACCCCGTCAATATCACCAATTATTTCGTTACATACACAAACACAGACCGTAAGGTAAATGAAGTACATATTATAACAATGAGGTTGCGTACGGATTTATTTGAAGATTTGACCGATATGGAGATTTTCAAATCTCAATGAGGGCTATTGTATTGCAGGGTAATTGTCCTTATCCGGACCGTGTGCCGTTTTTATGTCCAGCTGAACATCTGATCGCGGTGGAGTATTTGTATGCATACTTAATCAGCCAATAAACTGTATATTTGTTCATGAATGGAATACAATACGGTCTACATGTCGTATTAGAATATGGTCTGGCCCACAAAGGATCGGCATGTTTGATTAAGTTACAATCAGAAAGAATATCTTGGCATTCCAAAATTTACCTTTGAAATAATAAATGAGTTAAATAGACACAATGTGAACACAGGTTGTACACATAATACTAGCATGCTTATATGTGTTTGTGTATGTGGTAAGACGATAAGTCAAAGATTGCTGTTTTCTGTCAGAATGTGCACAATAGATATCTATTTATAACTAATTACAAAACATTAGATTCATTTATAACAAATGCGTCACAATTATTCTGACAAAGGCATTTTTTTTTATTAATATTAATGTATTAACCGGCAAAGTCAAATGTCAATAACTATACTAATTGACAAGTCAAATGTCAACAATTATATTAATTGACAAATTAAAAAGTTATCATTATCTTAATTTGCAAAAGTCAGATGTTATAATTATATAAATCATCAAAAACCATTAAATCAATAGAAAAAAGGTCGAATCGTAATGGTGATACTAACAAAGGTAAATGCCACAATTACATTAATTGAAACGGACCCAATATGTAGGATTTAACACCTGTTACGAACACCAGGCTACCGAAGGTAAACTCCGGCTATAGGCTAACAGTTCAGGGCGTCGATATCCTTGTAACTTTCTTGAAATCAGTTTGCATTATTTGTAAACAAAGCTGTGTAAGTACACACATGTACACACACGTAGCACGGCGCACACATTCTACGTCATTTGAAAGACATAACTATATATAAGATTGAGAGAAATATGTGTGCCAGTATAATATGGCTCTGATCTAATCAACCCATTCGTTATACCTGATCTGACTCGCCGTGTCAAGTGTATACATTTTACATGCATGAGTAAACAATCCATTTAAACTAAATAAATCGTCAACGTCACAGGAAGACGTTGAGAACTTTTAGTATATAATTATATAGTTAACGAGTTGACAACATACAATTCAGGACAGACAACCGCATGTCTATTGTAATGAACTTTCTTGATAAAAAGCATAACTTCATGTGTTTCAAAAACGATTAACGTGAAACATACACACAGGTAATTCTACCTTTATACTGTGGTAAAAGATACAGTAGGCCAAACAATGAATTACACCGCATTACCCCCCCACACACAAAATCAATGTATATATAATAAAAACCAATCAATATATATACATGTTTATATATAAACAATCGAGTGTTTATTTAAGTGTCGCATATCACAAGCGTAATACTAAAAGAGTAAAATTATAAAACAGACATATGAATAATTTCATGTACATATTATTCACAGTCGATAAATTTTATCCCTACATTATACTCTTGCAAAAAAGATTGAAACTTATCGTCTCGTGGTAATCAAAATGGATAATAATACAAATGCGTTCAAACATGTACGTTAAAAGAATCCGCCGTCTCCATTATTATATACAGCGATTAGCCTCACCCGACACCCTTAATCCCACTGTCTTTACCTGGTTACGTTTAAGATGGAGACCAGAATAACTTTAACCTGACGACTTGTGTACCTTTCAACTTAAAATCAATATACATTTTACCAGACAACAAAGGAATTTTGTTCCTTTTACCTGACAACAAGGATACATTGCCCCTTTTACCTGACAACCAGGATACATTGTCCCTTTTACCTGACAACAAGGATACATTATCCCTCTACCTGACAACAAGGATACATTGTCCCTTTAACCTGAAAACAAGGATACATTGTCCCTTTAACCTGACAACAAGGATACAATGTCCCTTTAACCTGACAACAAGGAATAACGAACCTTTGACCTGACAACCAGGGAAGATTGAAATTTTTACCTTTTATCTGACAACAAGGGAAAACTGCACCTTTTACTTGACAACTATGGTACGTTGCACCTTTTACCTGACAACAAGGATACATTGCCCCTTTGACCTGACAACCAGGGAAGATTATACATTTTACCTGACAACCAGGATACTTTGTACCTTTTACCTGACAACAAGATTACATTGTGTTCTTACCTGACAACCAAGGAAGGTTACAACTTTACAACAGGATGTCATTTACCTGACGATTAGAGTTTCTTTTACGACCTAGTTACATTTTATCCGACAACCAGTGTATTTTACCTGATGTTCAGGGAATCTTTTGCCTGACGACCTAGTTACCGTTTACCTATCTTCCAGTGTATTTTACCTGACGTTCTGAGAATCTTTTGCCTGAAGACGACTTAGGTACGTTTTACGTGAAGAACAAAATGTTTAACTGCCAATCAAAGCCCGTATTCATGAAGACGTTTTCATGCTCAATTTTGGGTTCAAGTCCTATTATGGGTTCTCGTGGTATTTTTTTTATAAAAAGCAAATTTTGTCAGTGTTATGGAAAAGTTTTGGAGATATTTAAAGCCGAATGAGGTTTACAATGTCTACACCTTTCTGACCATGGTACGTGAATTAAGCGAGTTACCCAAACGTTGGCTGGAGCAAAGAATACATGCTTGAGCATGAGAACTTTTTCGTGAATATGGGCCCCCTGAAGCTCAGGGTACCTTTTACAGTTTGAACAGTTTAAGCTTGAGCAGGACCTCTGTCCAGACAGGCTGTGTCGTAAACACATCCAACCCAATCCAATAATGTCACACACTTGAAGATATTACAATTTAATATCACCAAATCAAATCAAATGGATAAATTACAGCCGTGTTGATATGCACGAGCTTGGTTCGTTTGAACCATTGTTTTAATGTATTAGGGCAGCTTAATTCAAATCTATTAACAAAATGTCTTTGACAAGCTTTCAGCGACGACGGTTGATAAGGATCGTCTTTAACATTGTCCTAATTTGTTCTCAAACGCTAGGGAATATGAAGCCAACACGCGGAGGGTGCAGAAAAAAACCCCATCTAACACAAGAAATCTTCATACGAAGACTGCGATTCACATGACATAACTCCGAGCGATAGAATATTGATTGCATTGATATTAAAAAAGAAAATCATCATCAGATAGCACAGGAGTTAAGAAGTTAACGTTTCGGATATCAAACTCTCAGCAAGTACCAAAGAAAAAAAAATGATATAAAAACGGAATACCGCGAAATGTATTTAACATGCCAAATATTTCACACAATACAAGATACGGTATAACCAAATAGTTTAACTGAAAAGGACATCTATTTGTTAAAGTACACAACGTTATTAGTACTCGTAAAGAAAGTTACAAACAATACATCAATTTAAGATATGTTTGGCATATGATGATATCTTCTCCATAATTCAAACAGTTGTTCTTCACCTAAGAAATAAAGGCAATGGCCTCTTGCCCGGCTAATTTGAGAATTTCCTGGTCCTGTAACGATTCATCTGACGATGTAGATTATTCCATGGTAACGATTCCTCTGGCGATGTAGATTATTCCCTGGTAACGATTCCTCTAGCGATGTAGATTATTCCCTGGTAACGATTCCTCTAGCGATGGAGATTATTCCATGGTAACGATTCCTCTGGCGATGTAAATTATTCCCTGGTACCGATTCCTCTAGCGATGTAAACTATTCCCTGGTAACGATTCCTCTAGCAATGTAGATTATTCCCTGGTAACGATTCCTCTGGCAATGTAAATTATTCCACTTGCCCGGCTAATTTGAGAATTTCCTGGTCCTGTAACGATTCATCTGACGATGTAGATTATTCCATGGTAACGATTCCTCTAGCGATGTACATTATTCCCTGGTAACGATTCCTCTAGCAATGTAGATTATTCCCTGGTAACGATTCCTCTGGCGATGTAGATTATTCCATGGTAACGATTCCTCGGGCAATGTAAATTATTCCATGGTAACGATTCCTCTAGCGATGTAGATTATTCCATGGTAACGATTCCTCTAGCGATGTAGATTATTCCACGGTAACGATTCCTCTGGCGATGTAGATTATTCCCTGGTACCGATTCCTCTGGCGATGTAAATTATTCCCTGGTACCGATTCCTCTGGCGATGTAAACTATTCCCTGGAAACGATTCCTCTAGCAATGTAGATTATTCCATGATAACGATTCCTCTGGCGATGAAGATTATTCCATTGTAACGATTCCTCTAGCAATGTAGATTATTCCATGGTAACGATTCCTATGGCGATGTAGATTATTCCATGGTAACGATTCCTCTGGCGATGTAAATTATTCCCTGGTACCGATTCCTCTGTCGATGTAAACTATTCCCTGGTAACGATTCCTCTAGCACTGTAGATTATTCCATGGTAACGATTCCTCTGGCGATGAAGATTATTCCATTGTAACGATTCCTCTAGCAATGTAGATTATTCCAT